TTTTCCTATCTTCTGTAATACTTTTATCAATATATCATTCATCTCCATTTTTCCTTCCCCCTCCCTCCCCGATTCTCCCCCGCTATTTTGCCTAACTTTTCCCCGGCCTTTTTTTTTTTTTTACTCCTCATATTGGCATCTTTGGGATGATAATTTTATGGAAGATGAAGTCATTATTAATGATTATAATAATAATTTCATATTAATCCTTAATTTAGCATAAATATCAATAAGTTTGTTACAATTATCATTACTTAACATATTCATATAACATTTATCGATCACAATCATACAAACGATAGTAATTGAAATCGATTAAAAGATATCGATTGATCAAGTGATTGCTTAATTGTCCAATCAAAAATATCATTGATTAGAGTTCGTATCTTATCCAATTTATAGTACTTTAGGTGATTTATGAAAAGTTCAGACATTTAAATACTTCTTTTTATGTGTGTGTATGTATGTGTGTGTATGTATGTGTGTGTGTATGGTGTGTATGTGCGTATGTGTGTGTATGTGTATGTGCGTGTGTGTGCGTATGCAAAGAAAAGCATCAAATATACCGAAAGCAATAGTATACAATTTAAAAAAAAGAAAAAATTAGCTAATTTCCTCAAATTATAATTGAATACTCGTATTCAAATATGATTAAAGAGTAAGAGTAATCATTATCATATAACAGATTGATTGAAAATATCAATCGTTAAAGAAAAAAAAAAAGAAAGAAAGAAAGAGGGCAAAGAAAAACAAAAAGCAGACAACCGAACAAGTCTTCTGCAACATTTGTGACGTCACTGATAGTAATGATATCATTGTTGTTGTTTATCATGCTTGTATTATGCTTTATAATCTATACATTCCATTATCAATAGCTTTTATCATCGTTCATTGATACCAATGATAATTACTTCTTTTTTCCTTTGGAACATGCGTTTTGAATACTTATTTTTAAATATGATAAAAAAGCAAAATCATTACCATTTTTAGTTGAAGTTTTCGTTCTGTTATTACTTATTGTGATTATCATTAATCACTATTATTCTGATGACAACAATAATAACAATAATAATAATAATAATAATAATAATAATAATAATAATAATAATAATAATAATAATAATAATAATAATAATAA